GGGAGGGAGGGACGGAGGGAGGGAGGGAGGGAGGGTTGAGGGAGGGAGGGAGGGGAGGACAAGTAAGAGTGGCACTTTAGTCAAGGAGAGGATTCCAAGAGCTATCTAGAGGGTTCCTGGCTGCAATGCAGAACCTCCTAAAAATCTTGCCCACAGTGGGGATTTGTCTAGGGCTGCTTACTGCAACCTACTCCCAGAACCCCACTCTGTCTACCGCAGGTATACATGTTCAAATATGACTCCACACACGGCAGATACAAAGGAAACGTGGAACATAAGAATGGACGGCTGGTCGTAGACAACCTTGAGATCAACGTGTACCAGTGGTAAGGACAGAATGTGACACCCTGGCCCTACCATATGTGCATGCCTCTACCTTCTGTTTAGAAAGAGGGTCTCGGAAAGGCCTCTGGCCTCTAAAACACTTAAGGACATTCGTTTTCAAGACTGCCCGTGGGTCTTACGTGTTTTGTATTTAACGCTCATCTGCATGTGTTCTCTGCGGCATGTGGGTTCACTGCCTCGTCCCCTGCCTCCTGAGTTGCCAGCCACCTCTATGGCAACTAAGCCAGCTAGCTCCTACTCAGTAGCCTCTGAGGTCTTTTGATTCTCCACTGAGCCAAGGTACTCCTCTATGATTCCCCTCAGTGCTCCTGCCCCATTCTCTCTGTCTCATCTGCCACACCTCTGGGGTGGTTATCACCTCTGGGTGAACTTGCTGAACATGAGGTATGACAAAGTGTTTGGAGGAAGGCTGAAGGCAAGACTGGGGAGTCAGGGAGAATACAGGCCGTTTGCCCTAAGTTTGAAATCATGGCCCCAAAAGCAAATTCCAGAGGCTTTTCAGTCACCTCAATCCTCCTGCCTCTGCCTGGGTGTCATCAGTCCCGCCTCTTGTAGTGTTCTCCCTGCCTCGCCTCCACACGGCACCCCACCCATATTGCCAGAGAATGACCTGTGACGGCCATACTTTCAGATCTGAATGTTTATAAAAGATATGTGGCAAGCAAAGTAAACAGCAAGGGATGGAGAGGTAGATGATATATATATAAAGAGAGAGATGACAGGTAGGTAGACAGACAGGTGGGGGAGTGGTGGGTGGATGGGTGGGAAGATGGTTGGATAGATAGATAGATAGGTGGATGGATGAAGGGTAGATGGATACATAGATGATAGGTGGATGGATACACAGATGATAGATAGATAGACAGACAGATAGATAGCAAAATGTCAGGCCAGGTGCACAAAACATCTGGTGGAAATCAACTTGGGATACTCCGATAAGTTAGTTCCCAGGCAGAGCCGGTAAGGCTTCCAAGTAAAGAACAAATAGCAACAGACTGTAATGAGGCATCACTGGAATCAGGAGTTCACAATACCCAGAAGACACTGACGGAAGACTCTAGGGTTTCGGGTGGTGTTCCTGACTGAGCTTTCTCTCACGGCTGAGCTTACAACCTCTCCCACTGGCAATACCACACTGCATACCACAGGATAAACAGTAGTAACCTCCACTCTTAGGGACTGTGTTTTTACCCCTGGGATAGTTTGTTCCCTCCTCTGTCACAAAGGTGAGAGGGGTCAGTCCATCTGGAGACAAGAGGTCTTGAAAACCACTTGACATAAACCTGCTTGGGTCTGAAGGGAGGCCAGCCTGACTTCCATAGCCAGCTTCTCAGCAAGCCCAAATAGCTCATGACTACTTGACAATATAATACACACCACAGTTGCCTTCCCCAACCAATGCAGCTGAATGCATGAATCTTCAGAACAGACCTGTAGGTAGCAGGATCCATGCCAAACTCAAGTCCTATTGCAGGAGTTGCTGAAGTACTCTTAACCTGAAAGACAGAGAGTGAGTGTATCAGATAAAAGCTATTTGGGCCAGAAAATGACCAATGTGGGGGGGGGTGCTGATGGAGCAGAGGGAGAAGAGTGTCTTGTGGCTAGAAGGGAGGGAAAGCCTATGCATTCATTCATTCCCACACTATTCCTAACCGAGGACAAAGTCCAGGCCTAGGTTCGAACACTGCCTTCACCACTGCCTGACACTGGCTTCTTTGAAACATGAACACAGTAGTAAGTATGCAGCTGGTGTTATGGTGGTTTTCAGTTTTCTACAGACAACAAAAAGAAAAAAAAAAGTCAGACGGGAGGCAGCTCAGGGCTCGTATGCAGAATGACTAAAGCAAAGAACTGAAACTAGGGAAGAAGCTCCGTAGTAGAATACCTTCCACTGCATGTGAGGTCTGGCGTCAGTCCTCGGCACCGCAAAAATTAAATAATATGCATTTATTAGAGTTGGAGAGACAGCTCAGCGGTTAAGATCACAAACTGCTTTCAGAGAACCCCCCCCCCTCCCAGTTCAATTCCCAGCATTCATACGTGGCATACCTATGGTATGGAACTATCCAGAAGTAGAGCCAGAAGCAATCCTAAGACCCAATCTCCCTGGGACATAAGTTCCATTAGGGACAAGCCCACAGACAAGAGTCACAGAGACTGCTTGCCGGACACAGGTGGAACACAGCAAGGATAGCTGTTTGAGAAGTTTCAGACACAAACATTTGTGTCAGAACATCAAGGCCACGCTGGTCGTGATGGAATGTGTGATTCCTGTGCTCAGGAGGCTAAGGCAGGAAGACCGTGGAAGTTGCAGACCAGTCTGGGTCAAACAGGAGACACCACCAACCCACAAATAAACATCAAGTGAAAGTGTAGGCTGATGCTTTTCGCCAAGATGGCGCTGAAAGCAAAGAAGGAAGCTCCTGCCCCTCCCAAAGCCGAAGCCAAAGCGAAGGCCTTGAAAGCTAAGAAGGCAGTGTTGAAAGGCGTCCACAGCCACAAAAAGAAGAAGATCTGAACGTCACCCACCTTCCGGTGGCCCAAGACACTGCGGCTCCGGAGGCAGCCAAAATATCCTCGGAAAAGTGCACCAAGGAGAAACAAGCTTGACCACTATGCTATCATCAAATTCCCACTGACCACTGAGTCAGCCATGAAGAAAATAGAGGACAACAACACATTTGTGTTCATTGTGGATGTCAAGGCCAACAAGCACCAGATCAAACAGGCCATGAAGAAACTCTATGACATTGATGTGGCCAAAGTCAATACCCTGATAAGGCCTGATGGAGAGAAGAAGGCATATGTCCACTTGGCTCCTGATTATAATACTCTGGATGTTGCCAACAAGATTGAGATCCTCTAAACTGAGTCCAGATGACTCATTCTAAATAGACACTTTTTTTTTCACCATAAAAAAAAAAGCGTAGGCTGATAAAGATGAATACAAAGCCTTTCTGTAGCTTTTCTGTCAATGATTGGTCCCTGCTGTTCATAGGTGCTTCAGTGGAACCCTCCCCTGAGCTGTCACCTGATATGTCTGTCTTTGGGGGACTTCCCAACAAGAGTTCAGTGGTGTTAAGAGGCTAAAAGGGCTCACGTGAGGTAGTCAGAGCTAGTGGCCCCAGAGCATTGGTGGCCTCAGTGTCTTGGGAGTCCATGCTCTGAGCATGTGATGTAAACGGTTTCTGGTTCTAGTCTGACATTTGTGGGGATGGTTCCTGAGGGAAGTAAGAGCCGAAGTTGAAGAGGTGCTAGTCTGTCTAGACACAGCAGGGTATAGCACACACACAAAACAAGGGAGAATAGTTGATATGGGCTTGCAGGACAGCACCAATCTGGAACAGGTAGGTATGAATATGGAGCAGGTGTTAGCAGATCAGGTACCAAGACCTCTGGCTAGCCTGAGACCCAAGCGAGGGAAACTGACACAGCCTTCCCACTACTCCACAGCAAAGACCCTAAAGAAATTCCCTGGAGCTCTGTGGGGAGTCCCTATGTGGTGGAGTCTACGGGCGTATACTTGTCCATAGAGGCGGCTTCCGTAAGTGAGGAAGAGTGCCCAGGGCAGTCTGGGAAGAGGGGGCAGTGGTGCTTGAAGACCCTAATCTTGTACTGTTTATCACTAGGGACATATTTCATCCGGTGCCAGGCGTGTGGTGGTCACTGCACCCTCCCCTGATGCGCCCATGTTGGTCATGGGTGTGAACGAGAAGGACTATAACCCTGGCTCCATGACCATTGTCAGGTACTCGGAATGACAGCCATCCTCCAGCATGTGGGTGGTGGCAGCGGACATGCCAGGATGAAGCACGGAGGACACTGGGTCTCCCCACCTGAGTCCCACTAGATCTGTGATGTCTTTTACAACAACTTGTTCCCAAGTCTCAAGTCAGCGTATTGACTTCGCCCTGGAACTGCTAGGGATGTTCAGTATCTGGGGACATGTCTAGGCGGTATTGCCCACTGGCATCTCCTACAGCTCCTCCTTATGGCATCCCCAGGGACCCCTCTTGCCCCCATCCTCACGTCTCACAGGACCAGACCTGGTAAAGTAAAAGTAATGATGAAGGGTGGCTCTGCCACTCATCTGACATGCTATGGCCGTTTCAGCAATGCATCTTGTACCACCAACTGCCTGGCTCCCCTCGCCAAGGTTATTCACGAACGCTTCGGGATCTTGGAAGGGCTGATGGTGAGTTGGGGCAGGAAGGATGGCAGGGAAACCAACCCCTTCTTCCCAGGCCTTGTGTAAGGCGTGGAACAAGCAGGGAGAACAGCTTAGGAAGGAAGCCCATAGTGGAGACACCATCTGGAATACTTTGACAAAGACAGGCCCTAGCCTCCAGGTATCCTTCCTATGGTCTGTGATGGTTGCCCTGGTAGCCTATGGAGGCTACCTCGGCCACCTTCCCAAGTCCTAAAAGAAAGAGGAATGAGAGGTTAGGAGCAAGAAGGCTTCATCTTGGTCCTCTTGTCCCCCAAGACCACAGTCCATTCCTACACGGCCACTCAGAAGACAGTGGATGGACCATCCAAGAAAGACTGGCGAGGTGGCCGAGGTGCTCACCAGAACATCATCCCGTCTTCCACTGGGGCTGCCAAGGCTGTAGGCAAAGTCATCCCAGAGCTCAATGGGTATGCAGATTCAAACCAGGAACCAGGGTGGGGACAGACCCCAGAAAAAATCCACTGGCCCCCAAGGCATGGGAGACTGGCAGAAGACCATGGGCTCTGACTGTCACCCATACTCTGAAATTCTTCAGGAAGTTAACAGGAATGGCATTCCGGGTGCCAACCCCTAATGTATCAGTTGTGGATCTGACCTGCCGCCTGGCTCAGCCTGCTTCCTACTCAGCTATCAAGCAGGCTGTGAAAGCCGCAGCCAAGGGACCTTTGGCTGGCATCCTTGCTTATACTGAGGACCAGGTAAGGACTGAGGAAACCTTGGGGGAAGCTCTGGGGAGGGACTTTAGGGAGGGATCCCCCTCACCAGGAAGCTATTCTTCACGGGCTAATACAGGACCTGCAGACCAGCTGTCCACAGTGGTTCATACCCAAGGAAGGTGGGTCTCTGAGTTTTGGGCCAGCCAGGACTACATACTGAGACCCTGTCTCAAAATACAGAAACACAAAACCTGCAGGCCTGGGAAAGTGGGTCGTCCTGCCTCGGTGTCTTGACTACATGCTTCTTTGATCTAACGATGTTGCTTTTCCTCACCACGGTGAGCAGAAGTCACTCACGTAACCCACAGCACATACCGTCCAAGAAAACAGTGATTTAAGAGCTAAAATGGAGCTTTCGCCACCTTCCCAGAGCCATTCAGAAAGTTCTTTTTTTTTGGGGGGGGGGGGTTCGAGACAGGGTTTCTCTGTGTAGTCCTGGCTGTCCTGGAACTCACTCTGTAGACCAGGCTGGCCTCGAACTCAGAAATCCGCCTGCCTCTGCCTCCCAAGTGCTGGGATTAAAGGTGTGCACCACCACCGCCCGGCTCAAAAAGTTCTTAATACATTCTTCGTGAACAAAAAGACACCAGTTCTCTCTTTTTTTTTTTTTTTTTTTTTTAATTCAGGCTCAGGGGCTAGGCCAGTTGAGACACCTTTCCTGAAAACAGACTATCTAAAAAGTGCCATTTGCAACAGGCCTTTAATCCCAGCACTCAGGTGATAGCAGTAGACCACTGTGAATCTGAGGGCAGCCCTCTACATAGTGAGCTCCAAGGTTATATAGCAACTCTGTATCCCCCCCAAAAAAGTCACCTCCACCTTGGTGAAGTCCTCTTGCATTGGTTTCTACAGGTCCACTCTCAAACGCCAAGATGGTATTTGAATGAGTCAAATCAAATCAGGCCAATGTCAACCCCCACCCCGTGTCCTTCCAAGGCTTGTGTCTGTAACGCCTTCCATCCGCTAAGGCCCAGGCTCATGCTGTCCATTGCTTTATGTAATGTTTAGTGCAACAGTATTAGAGTATTGTGATCTGTGTCCTCTTCCCCCTGTGGATGAACATGTACACCAGGCACACCAGGTACAGGTGATGGACACATGGAGGCATGAGACTGATGTCTTCCTCCATTGTACTCCACTTGTTGCTGAGGCAAGATGTAACTGTAGCTTGACAACTAGCTAATCTAGCTAGACATCTTGCCCCAAGGATCCTCAGTCTGGATCTAGACTGCTAGGCCTATGGGTATCTATCACCTGCCCAGCCTCTACATGGATTCTGGGGATCCAAACCCAGTTGCTCTTGCTTATGTGACAAGCACTTTGAAACACTGAGCACCCCCGTGTGTCCCTGAGACAAAGGTTCCACCTGCCTTGATCACATCTGTCAACAACACAAAAGGTCTCTGTCCAGTATGCCAGTTGAGTGATTGACAATGTGGTCTGAAGAGTCGAAGTCTAGGTTCCTGGAGATCCCTGCACGGCTACATTTATCTTTGAAATTGTCACGCAGGTAGTCTCCACAGACTTTAATGGCGATTCCCATTCTTCCATCTTTGATGCTAAGGCTGGAATTGCCCTCAATGACAACTTCGTGAAGCTTGTTGCCTGGTAACGGGGAAAGATGCCAGAGGATAGCGGGGGGGGGGGGGAGGTTGGTGAGAGGGCGCGCGCGTGTACACAGACACACTCACACACTGACGCCTCCTTCCTCGCCTCCCCAGGTATGACAACGAATATGGCTACAGTAACCGCGTGGTCGACCTCCTCCGCTACATGTTTAGCCGAGAGAAGTAACACAAAAGGCCCCTCCTTGCTCCCCTGCGCACCTCCCCTTCCTGCCTTCGGCTCCCCCCTCAAAGGAGGGCATGAGTCTCTCGCGCCACCGACGGGTCAACAATGAAATAAAAACCAGAGTGCGCACAGCTTTGCCCTCTTGTCTCTGCGCCGATCACCTTGCGTTCAGGGCCGGGTTCAAGGTTCTGGGATGAGCGAGGAGAGGTGGCGCTTGACTCCGAGCCAGGTGGGAGGTGGCAAGTGCTGTCTGAACACCGGTCTTTGGCTCTGGAAGAACCTGCAGCAAGGCTGGCGCTGGGCGCTCTGACGTCACGGCGCGCGACGTACCAGGCGGACTACAGTTCCCATAAGGCCGCGCGCGGGCCACGGCAAGCAGGGGGGCGCCAGGCCCCGGTGCCCGCGAGGCCGACTAGTAGAGACGCTGCGCCTGGCGAGTCCCGCGTTGGCGGGACCGGGCGGCTGGCGTCATGACCCTGTTCCACTTCGGGAACTGCTTCGCCCTCGCCTACTTTCCCTATTTCATCACGTACAAATGCAGCGGCCTGTGAGTGCAGGGCGGGCGCGGGGTGGAGAGGGTGCGGGACCCGGGCCGACCCCTCACCGCCGGCTTCTTCAGGTCTGAGTACAACGCCTTCTGGAAATGCGTCCAGGCCGGGGTCACCTACCTCTTTGTGCAACTATGCAAGGTGAGGGACTCCGGGACTCCACGTGTCTGGCCTCCAGGCATTCCAGATCTCAGGGACCGGACTCTGCCGCTGTCACCTTCTATAGGACCACTCTCGAGACCACGCTTAGAGACTATGTCTGAGTACCTTAGAAGGGATGCAAGCCCAGGAGAGGCCCTGATGCAACTTTTTCTTAGCACTGTTGTAAAATGAGAAAACCTCTTAGTGCGATATTTCACCCACAGGGTGTCGCATGGTGCTGCCTATGCTCCGCATGCATTCACTTCGGCATTTCTAGACATCAGATTCTCCCGTGAACTTCTAGACTTCTAGAAACCAGGCACTTGCCCTCTCTCCCCCCAGATGTTGTGATCGTGCCACTTACACCTAGAATGACACCCCAGAACTCAGTTTCATGCCTTCTACTTGCACACTCACTTTCCACAATATCCATGTAGTTTTGTTTTTAATCTCCCTCACCTTCCGGTGACCTTTCTACTTTCTGATCTCAGATGTTGTTCTTGGCCACTTTCTTCCCCACCTGGGAAGGTGGCATCTATGACTTCATTGGGGTAAGTAGAACAGAGGAGGGGCAGGGGAGTGCAGGAGTGGGTTCTCCTGGTCCTTGTGTTTACTCCAGCCTCTTACCTGACCCACAGGAATTCATGAAGGCCAGTGTGGATGTGGCAGACCTGATAGGCCTCAACCTTGTCATGTCCCGGAATGCAGGCAAGGGGGAGTACAAGATCATGGTTGCTGCCCTGGGCTGGGCCACTGCTGAACTCATTATGTCCCGGTGTGTGGAACAACCTGGAGTCCAGACTTCTGGGAAAGGACAGCTGGGTCCCACAGGGGTGCTGAAGGGAGGTGATCAGAGGCTGGGTGTTGGGGCGTGGGGGCGTGGGGGAGTCTGGGTACTAGAAACTGCCTCCCTTTGCCTTCCTCAGCTGCATCCCTCTCTGGGTGGGAGCCCGAGGCATTGAATTTGACTGGAAATATATCCAGATGAGCATTGACTCCAACATCAGTCTGGTATGCAACTAACCCTCTCCTATCTTTACACTGTTAGCCTGTCTCCTGAAAACTTGGTCCCAACTTCCCATTTCCTTCCTTCCTCCCTGCAGGTCCACTACATCGTAGCATCGGCTCAGGTCTGGATGATAACACGCTATGACCTGTACCACACTTTCAGGCCTGCTGTTCTCCTCCTGATGTTCCTTAGCGTCTACAAGGCCTTTGTCATGGAGTGAGCTTGGTGGGATGTGAGGCTGGGTTCAAATGGGGGTGTGTTTTCTCTTTCCTCATTGTCATGTTTCCCCACAGGACCTTCGTCCACCTCTGTTCCTTGGGTAGTTGGACAGCACTGCTTGCCCGGGCAGTAGTGACAGGTCTGCTGGCCCTCAGCACCTTGGCCCTGTATGTTGCCGTTGTCAATGTACACTCCTAGCTTTGGCGTCCCAGGAGTTGGCGTACCTTTTCATGGCCTCTCTCCAGATTTTAGTGAAGTAAACAGTGTTTGGAAAATTTTTGGTATGTCCATTTCTGTCTCAGAATCCGAATCCTCGGACTTAGGTCCCACAGAGCCTGCCTGGCTTTCAGAACCAGGTAAACAAGCTGGGATGTTGGCCAGTCTTCCTGGTTTCTCCATGGGAGCCTGGGGGCTTGGTAATCATTGAACAGGCTGAGGAATGGACACACTACAGTTCAAGAGTGGGGTTTGGGGTAGAGGGGAATTCTTCTTCCTCTCCTTACAGCTTGGCCTGAGCCCTCTCCCATGTGGAGTCTTCCCTAAGCTGGTTACCTCCAACCTTGCAACCCCCTACTTCCCCACTCTGGTCCATCCACCATGTGACAACTAGGGGACTTCCTATAAAACCTGTCTAACTAGGTCACCATCCTCCACTTGCAATTCTCTGTGGAGCTTCGTAGTAAAGGTGGCAGTAGACTGTGCCGTTTGCCCTTGATAATTTTGGAGCTGCACCTTGGAATGATTTCTCTAGTCAAATTCCTACCATCATTCAAACCGCAAGGCCACTCGGAAGAGTTCCTTGATTCTGAGCTGCTCCATGCTTTGACTAGTCCTGCAGCCTTCAGATTAAATCCTGGCCTCCGTCTCTCAGCATGTGCATGGGGGTTGGGGGATGAGGGATTCTAGGTCGGCCATAGTCAAATAGCTGTAGTTGAGCCTACCAACGTGGATACCGTCCTGGATGCTAACTCCGCCATTGTGATTGTGCCCTTCCTTGTTCCACTGGCCTAGGCGTTGATGGAAACCCTACTGTCTTAGGGTACTTCTCCACCTTGGTCCCAGTGTTGTCATACCTCCCACCCCACCGGGGAGGAGGACAGCTGCCACATCCCTCTTTCTCTGGGCTCGTAAGATGTTTAATCTTAGATACAGGAAAGGATAGCTTCTCTAGGCTCGCTATGATAGGCTGTTTACAGAAGGCACAATTTCGCCGGGCGGTGGTGGCACACGCCTTTAATCCCAGCACTTGGGAGGCAGAGGCAGGTGGATTTCTGAGTTCGAGGCCAGCCTGGTCTACAGAGTGAGTTCCAGGACAGTCAGGGCTACACAGAGAAACCCTGTCTCAAAAAACCAAAAAAAAAAAAAGAAGAAGAAGAAGGCACAATTTCTGTCGGATGGACCTACCTACCTCCTTCCCCACCCTTCCTCGGTGCCAAGTATCCCCAACAGTTTGTGTACTGAGAGTAAGGAATAGCCTTGTCTCTATGTAGACAGGAGGTAGACAGGGTGCACACTGTGGAGCAGTGTTGGGACCTCCATCTCATGGTCCGCCTGTCCCCTCATGGAGCTAACCAGAGCCCCTGATGGAGAGGCCTAGGCTGCCGTTAGAGGTCTGGGTGGAAGATAGGGTTTATTGAGACACAGAAACTATCTTACCCAGCCTGTAGGTAGGGAGGCTCAGGGGAGGATATATAGCTGAGATCTAATGGACCAGTTAATGGGAGAAGCAGAGAAAAGGAAGTGTCCAGGCAGGTGTAAGGGCCTGGCTTCTGGCAAACATCAGAACTGTTGTTTCCAGTTTAACAAGGCTTGAGACATAGTCTAGTAGGAGCAGCTAAAGTTGATAGTCAATATGTTGACCAGGGTGATGGGGGTTCTGGCAGCATTGGGGTTTTGGAAGCTGTCCATGGTGATGGTGTGGAAGGACCAGAACTAGAAGACAATAGTGGACTAGTCCCTCAGCAGGGGTGGGAAATAGCGTGAAGCCAAGTAGTGAGGTGATTTGGTTTTGTTGGTCAGTAGGAGGCGAGTGGGAGATGACAGGTCAGTAAGGGGGCAAGAGTCCAGGACACCACTCATTTGGAGTTTGGCAGCTCCCAAGAGCCTTCTGCCCTTCCTAGGGAGATGTACCCTTCCATCAGTGAGACTGGAGAGCAAATGGTAGCAGGTCAGGAGTGATGGAAAGGCCAGTGTGGGTCACGGTAGTCCAGCAGGAGACCGGAGACAGATGTGGGCATAATGGCCATGAAACCAAAGTCCTCAGGGCTTGAGGGGTTAGGGTTGGCGATAGACAACGGGAAGGAGAATTCCAGGCGCAGCCAGAGAAGCTCCAAACAGAAGGGGAGACTGACAGATTGCCAGGAAAGGGAGTGGCCAGACGAAGGGGCATTCCCAGCCACTAGAGGAGTTGGCTCTTCAGGAGCCAGGATTTTGTAGGAGAACCTCCACAATTTGTAAGAACACAAGGGCACAGGCACCAGCACATAGAATCAGCAGGGACTCTGGATGATGGCAACCTGCTGCTTGGTGTGGAAGTCTGGACCCCTGCACCAGCTTTCAAGAGGCCCTGCAGACACTGCAGCCCTGAACGTTAGTCCTTATGTGGTGGGTTTGTGGGAGGTCAAGGGTACTGGTAAACACGTAAGACTGTGCAGGAGACATGGCATGGCTTTATTACTGTCCAGCAGAATGTGAGGCGCTTGTAACAGCCCCCAGACAACCTTCTTGTTCAGATGGAATCCTTGAGATGGACACACCTCCGCAGGAACTGCCAACCGCTTAGTTTAGCCCCTCCCACCTCAGAGTATTTTCCTGGGTGCAACTGCTCCAAGAGGGTGTGGAGCTATGGGATGAGAGGGGTAAAGGATAGAGTCCCTCCAGTGGTGTCACAGGCTGCAGAAGCGGGTACAATTCCATAGGGCTGAGAATCGATTACATAGATGTTTTGGTGGACACCATAAGTCCCAGCTGATAGTGGATGGAGGGATGACTGTCCCTCTAATAGTAGAGTTCCTGGTCCCACCAGCCTGGAGGAGAGAAGAGAGAGAAAACCCAATGCTGGGATGCACAAGCAAGAACTGGATTAC